CACTTAGCAAAATTCTTATATATGGATCTTGAGTTGTATTGGCTCGTATTTGATCCAACACATTTCAACCATTGGATCCTCTGACCCTCAATCGAGTTTGCTTCCTAGGTCTTAATTTCTAAACAAGAAACAAAACGGGCATAAAGCATTGATAAACTGAGAATTTTCAAGAACATGGTGTATGTGTTATTATCAACCCATCGCAGCTAACCCCAACAACAAAGATTAAGACAAGCTAACTCATGTTACATACTAAGTCAATGCTTCCACCTATTGATAACATAATTACTATTGCATCGAGTATCAGAAGTGTTGTATCGAGTCAACAATTCCCTCTAGCATAAACTGGCTAAGAAGTTAGAATGATAACACACTATTAATTCGAATAGACAACAAAACAAAAGGCATCTAATGTGAAAAAGCTGGTCCACTTGTTCGTTTCCTTTTAAAAGCCGGATGGATGATTCCATTGGACAACTCCAATTTATCGACTCTTGCCATATAGTCTTTCATCCTTTCCAAAACAATAGGCATCATCGTGGCATTACTTGAGGTCTTCTGTTTGAGGAGTTGGATTTTCTCAGCTTCCTCTTGATCCTCTCCAACTAATGAGGCCATTCCACTTGACTCAACAGGTACCACTATGGGAAGAGGAATAGGCAATATTAAATAATAAAAGATGTTACATATTTTAATTGACAGAAAGGCCACGCAGTCAGGAGCGCCATCGAAACAGGTGGAAAATGGAAATATATTCAATTTCAAATTACACATCACATTGATACACTTTAGATGCAGGGTATTGCCTTTATTCAAAAGCTATAGCCCACGGCGGAGGTGCAAACCACCCTATTATCACAAAGAATCAAACTCGGGAATCCACCCCAAGCCCACCCATGTTTCAAGCATGCTCTGCATTGTAAACCAACCCAAATGCTCTAGCATCGACTTGGACACGGAACATCTAACTCTTGTACCAACTAGTATAGCTACGACTTCGTTCAAAACCTATAGTTCATGGTGGAGGTGCAATCCATCTAATATCACCCAATATCAAGCCCGGGAATCATCCAAGCCTACCCCCTTCAGACACATCCCATTTTGATCATGCTCGTGCATTAACTTTCCCTCCCCAAATTTCTGAGGGAGCTGAGTTTTGCAAGAAAACTTCAGGAATAAGATGTGCAGTACAATACTGCTTAAAGGACAGGCTGTCTGAATGGAAACAAAAAATATCTGCTCTTCAACCAAACAAAGGAGATAAACCACAAAGAATGTGAGGAAGATGAATGCTGAAATTTTCAATGAGGTGATTCTAAGCACAGTTCACATATGCACCTCAGGTTTGTAGGAACACTATTGAATATAGTGCACCGGGTGAAAACAACTTCGACACACAATTTCTCAGAAGTAGCACCATGTTTGGAGGGATAGAACTTAAGCTGTGGGATTGGATTTCGGGAAAGGTAAAATCAATCAAAGGGATATAT